CCCATTAATTTATTTTTCTTAATTAATCCCTATAACTATATATTTATGGAGTACAATATGATATTTGGGTACATTCATACTATGTGCAATGATCATAGCAGGGTGTTTAGCATATCCATCACCTCATACATTTGTCCCCTCTTTGTGTTGGGAACATTCAACATCATCTCCACTAGCTATTCAAAGATACACAGTACTGTGTTGTTGACTGTAATACCCCTTAGATTCTAAAATCAACACACAGGAGAAAAATCAAGCATAAAAAAATCATCTTTGAAAAGCCCTTACAGGAGGTGGCATGTTATAGACAAACACAGTGTCTCCCAGTAATTTCAACACAGCTGGTTTTCTCTCCAGCATTTAAATAGATCACTGTTCCTTCAGTCGAGGCCCCAGACGAAGCAGCTGACATTTAGGAGCCGTATGGTAGGATCAAAAATCTATATATTCAAACACACACACGACTCACACTCAGTGTGGTAAGAAACACACCCTGAAGAGCAGAGGGGATCAAGACAGACCATGGGGACAGCACACAGCTGTCCCACACTGCTCTGAGGGATGCATCTGTGGGATAGAACGGCAAGTCATTTTCCTCCTGTTGTCCTCCTCCTTCCTCCCCCTTTGTAAATTAAATGGACCTCTTTTTAAAGGAATCAACAGTAACTACCTCATAGAGCTGCTGTGACAACAGAGTGGGTTGTGTGTGTCATGGACAATGGCGGCAATAGTTTATGTTGGAAACTCCATCATAAACTCCCATTTGATGTCTGTGGTGCATGGGAACTATGAGAAACACCTGCCTCTTAAAATCTGGCTTCTAGACATCTCCCGGGGTTAGGGTATCATTTGTGAAAATCCCCCCAAATAGCAAAGATTGAGTTACTCCACTGTAATTACCTGGGAGAACACCAGTAGCTGATGAGGCTGGACACCACCACGTAGGACGCTATGATCATCCCTGACACGGCGAGCGAGACCAAGCCCAAGCCACAGAGGATACAAAGCAGTGAGATGCCACCCACAGAGAGGACCAGTCCTGGGAGGAGAGCATAGTTAGGAGAAGTGTTCATCTAAAACAGGTTGAAAACTCGCAGGGCCTGGGCCAGTGCATTTAAAATGATGACAAGTGACCCAGATTTTTAAGTGAGGAGATTGCCCATAAACAAAAAGGAAATCCAGATTTCTGGCATGACATAAAAAGATGATCTGGCCACCCACGTGGACATCACTGCATGGCAGCAGCTAGCCAGCCCTCTAGTCACCTCCGCTTCCCACCGTTCACAAGCCGTACTGCACGTGGGCAGCCTGGCTCACGTTTGTCATCTGTCTCGCCCACAGGTATTTGAGTTTGAGACTCCCTTACACTTAAGGTCAGAGATGGGCTCCTAATCAAATTCTCCAGGAGGAGTCAGGCAAGGCTGTACTGGGGGAGGTAAATTATCTCCAATGTTTCAAACTGCCTAACGATTATTATATTTACACCTATCTACAAGCTATTGGTATAAAGGCTATGCAGGCTAAATATAGTAAAATCTAAACATAGCTTTTGATTACATCCTTTACAACCCAGCCTGGCAACTACCACACATTAATTATAAGGTCTGATTGGTCATTTTTACCTACCATTGAATAATTTTTACAGGGAATATTAATGAATTACCACCTAATAAGTGAAAGGAAAACACATTTTTCATAATGAGGGTCTGTGCAGGGGGAAGAGTAAAAGGTACAATGGAAAGAGCATGGACTTTCATAGTTCAGTTCAAGTTAAGTCACTGGGAGACTCTGGGCCACTCGGAGCTGGAGTTTAACTCATCTATTAAGAGAGGACAATAATAACTACCTCCAGGGTTGACATGATATTAAATGACTTATTATACATGTGCTGGGCTGTAGTGGCTTTTGTCTGTCCAGCACGCTTTCCTTTGCCTCCCTCGTGAAAAATTCCTCTTTCCAGCAAAGGGGTAGCATGGCGAATGCTGCGTGGCAAACACCCTCCCCTCGCTTCGGGCATGGTCACATAGCCCAGAGCTCCACCCCACGGCCACAGTGATGATTTCAAGGACGGACCCTGAGAAGGAAGTCAGAGAACATAAACAGATGTGCTACCTTTTCATAAAGATTTACCCAATCCTAGATCAAAGTGTGGTCACCGACAATCTGCATCAGAATCAGATGAACCTGGGAAGCTTGTTACAAATTCAGATTTCTGGAGCCCATCCCAGACCTACTAAGTAACACTCTCTGGCTGAAGCCTTGAAGTCTGCATTTTCAAAAAGCAAGTGAGATGTCTGCACACTCGAGTTTAAGAACCACTGCTCTGAAGGCTCTGCACCTGCTATTCACCTGTCCAAGAAGCCCTTCCTTGCCCACCCAGAGACAACATCGTTATGCATCTTTAAAGTCCTGTCTTCTGGAAAGCTTTGCATGATACCACCAAAATCTAATGGCTCCCTGCTTTCTCTCTAAATTTCTTTTGTTATGGTTCTCACTCATTCCTCTACCCATTCATTCATTTGCTCATCAATATTTACTGGACAACTACTCTGCCAGACACTATCTGGCTCCTCTACCTACCATGCTCACTGTCTCCTTCAAGTGCCAATTGCTTAGTTCACAGTCCCCAGGGAAGTTTGCTTTTAGCTCTGGGAAGCCATGGATTGGACCAGAACTGATCACTTGACCCACTGGCAACCATACCTTTGGCCGCTATCCTGTGGTGATCCAATTTGAAAAAGCATACTGAGCCAATCAGATTTGCTTTCCCAGTAATTGTAACTTAGCTTAGCAACACAGGGAGAAGGTGACACTTGGCAGTGGGACTTCAGGAAGAAAGCTTCAGAAGGTGGATTCCAGTACCTAGCAAAGCACCTGGTAAGCAATAGGTGCTCAATACCTTGCTGTGGAATGAATAGCCTCTCTATTTAGTAACAACAATAGTTAGCATTCATCGAGAAGCTACTCTGTGCCTTGTATTGTGCTAAGGATTTCATGGCACACACAGCAACTCTTTGAGATAATTACTATTATATCCCTATTTTACCTATGAAGGATTTGGGGCTCAGAGAGGGTAAATAACTTGTCCAAAATCATACTGGTGGGGTGTGATTCTAACATAGACTCCAGAGTCCATGTTTTAACTACTCTGATAAGCTGCCTTGTGTGATTCTGACAAGAACAGGAACCTTTGACAAGCATGGCAGATACCCAATAAATATTGTCCTCCCAATTGAGTCATTTTCCAAGAGGGTGAATAACCGAGCAGGATACCTTCCAGCAACATGACCCCCACGAGAGCAGCCAGGGAGGTGAGCACCACGAGCAGCACGAAGAACCCCACAGGAACAGCCGACATGGCAACGAACACCAGCAAGGTGAGGGCCAGAAAAGGATGCCTGTCCAAGTACTGCCCTGCTGGAGACTTCATGAAGGCGACCACCTGCAGGCAAGGGACAAAAAGCCAGGGCCGAGTGCCATGTCTGAATCCCAGGTCAAATGGATCTGCCCAAGCTGTAGGAAGTACAACCAGAGGTCATAAAGTTGGAAGGCTCATAAGAAGTCACTACAGTAAGACTTCTCCCAAGACATGAGTCACCTGGGCAACAATTCAAGATGGTGGTGGACACGTGGCAAGTTTGAGGGTCCTGCCCATTGTCCAATCTTGTCAATGGAGGAAAGACCCAGTCACATCTCTCCCGCTTAAGGCACGCCCTCTCAGGAGACATGCTCAGCATAGGTGTGCAGTGGTGTAACGTACATGCAATCTGTCTCCTACTTTACAGCTGAGGTTCTTGTGGTTGCCTCTGAGGAACAGAGGCCAAATCCTGGCTACTCAGCACCGCCCAGGAGCTTGTTAGAAAGGCACAATCTCAGGCCCTGCCCCAGACCTGCTGAACAGGATTCTGCTTTATAAATACAATCCCCAGGTGATGTGTACACTCATTAAAGTTTAAGAAGCAATGGACTAAATAACTTGTCTACAGTCTCATAGCTTCCAAGTGGCAAAACCTAGGCATTCAAAGCTAAGGCCTTTGACTCCAAATGTCAAATGCATGTGTGGTTACCACCTCATCAGGTAAAAATGCTTTTAGGTCACCAACCTAGACTCTGTAGTTGGCCATACAACTACTGCAAGCTTATGCTGCATTAACAAATAGGTTATTTATTCAACAGGCAAAAGGGCTTTTGGGTGTGACTCAGTGGAGGAAGACTGCTTTAATGCAGAGCTGGTCGTAGGCAACCCCACAAAGATGGGCTTCCCCTGTGCTTAGGCCACATGCTTTCTCTCTCCTCAGTACAGGCATTCTAGTGCCTGTTCCCTTCAAAGTTTCCACCACTCCAAAACCTTCTCCCATCGAAACTGTTCCCTCCTGTGTTTCATTCCTTAAGGCCTTGTAGGCCAGATGCTGAAATGAAGACATAATTTGAGTACAGTGGCCACAGGTGCCACCACCCAAAATACCCGTACCTCCTAAAAACAGGTGTTCACCAAGTGATTAAAATGGTGGGAATTTCAGGGCAAGCTGGAAGGCAGGAAGGTTTTAAAGTTCCTGTTGATGGCGACCAGAGTGCAGGGCTCACCCACTCAAATAGAAAAGGCCATTTCCAGAAGCCACAGCCACCTGTCTTAGGGCGCTTTGCCATTGCCTCCTAAGGAGAACTCTTAAGGCATGATGAATTTCACTTGCTGCCAGGACACAAAATGGCATAATGCCCACCGGCCATTCTGACAAAAGCCATCAAAGATCTTACCATTCAAAGGTGACTGTACCAGGATCACCTCCGAGCTGGAGCTTCTTGGCTGCAACACTCAGCCCTAGAGATCCTGCTAAGTTAGGGCAGCTGCAGGTGACAGAGAGGCAGAGGGGCTGTGCAGGCTGGTTCCTGGAGCTGTCTTGGGTCCAGATTACTTTCCAGATCTGGTCCACGTGCATCCTTAGCAAATGCCCCCTGCGTCATCGGACAAACTGAACTGTTCTCTCTGATCCTTACACTCCAAAGGGCACCAGGAACCACATGGAGAGGAGCAGATGGGCACTCCAGTAACGCAGGCACAGCACACCAGGGAGTCTGTGGGACCAGCAGGGGATGGGCCATGTGGTGGCAGGAGTGGAGGAGACTGGGACGCCAGGACGACAGGTGTAAGGCTCACACCTGGCCTGTTCAGCACAGCAGCCACACGTGGCCATTCAGCACCTGAAATGTAGCTAGTGTGGCCTAGATTTTCAACTGGATTTCATTTAAATTTTAAAACTGTACTTGAGTCAGTCATTGGAAAAAATTTAAGTATGTTTCAAATAGGTTGGGTATATGAATCCACGAGGATATTTCAAAAAGTTCACGGAAATATTCTTACTGTCTTTTAATTCTATTTTTCCATGAACTTTTCTGAAGTACCCTCATGTTTTGTTCCACTATAAATTTTATGAAATCTTAGTAGAGATCAAATATTTCCCATGGAAATCTGGCATCTGAACTGAGACATGCTTTAAGTATATGAAAAGAACATAAAATATTCCATGCATGATTTTTTATTCCAATTACATGTTGAAATCATAGTGTTTTGGATACACATTGCATTAAATAAATATATGATTAAAATTATTTTCACTTGTTTCTTTTTCTGTTTTTTACTAATATTACCAGAAAACTCTAAATCATACATATGGCTCTCATAATATTTCCACTGGATAGCATTCATTTAAACTTTAGGAAAAAAAAACAAAACAAAGCAAGGAGCACACTGCTGGCACTGGAGCAGGACTGTTAAACAACTGAAGGAGTCGTTTGAGAAAGATGCACCCAGCAGTCACGCAATAGGCAATTAGGAAGATTCACAGGAAGTCAGGCAATATATATTGATGACCAAATCGAGGCTGACAGCAGAGAGGGAGGAGGCAGGGTGCAGCATGAGAGTGGACAAAAGAAAATTCAACAGGACTTGGGGACAGTTTGGCATAGGTACCCAAGAGGAGAAAGGCAGGACTGTTCTATTTCCAGTCCTTTAAAAAGTCCACCTCTTTCTTAGTTTCTTCTGAGTCTGGGCTCCACAACCAAAAAATAGAAAGTCATCCAGATATGCAAGGAGACCACCTGAAGATGCAGACAGTTAAACCCAGCAATTGTCTTCTCCCAGGAAACATGGCCCTGCTTAGGCAGGTCTGCTACAGAAGGGAAGGACATGGTTCAGTCACGCCTCATCATGATAAAGGACATTCATTAAACACTCAGGTGCCAGGCATTCTTTTAAGTGCTGTCCATGCATTTCCTCATTTATTTCTCCCTACAGTGCTATGAGGTAGGGTCATGAAGATCAACTTGACGTTATTCAAATCCCAGGGGTTAGAACATAGCAATTAACTTTTCATTCTCATGGCAACGGAAAGGATGGAAAGTGGGAAGGCTTATTATTCAATGACATGCCTACAGTTTTCCATGCCCCCCTGCAGGTGGACACGGGTGATCCAACCTAGACTTTACAGGCAGAGTGCTGCACCCAGGAGCCCAGGAATGCCAGGCTCTGTCCTGAAGCCTTCTCAAACGGCATCTCAGACAATGCTCACAACAAACCTATCAGCTTGGTATTGCCCATTTTAGAAAAGAGATGGAAATTCAATGCACCTAAGTAACTCGCCCAAGGTCTGACAAAGGTGACATTTTTAAATACACACCTGGGCATGGGGAGGTTCCAGAGTAGGAGCAATGTGGTCAATATCTGAGGATGTGAAGGCTCCATTGGGGACAATTCACGTGGCAGGCAAGTTCTCTGGTGTAAGGATGTGAAAGAGAACCAGTGATCCATTGTCTCCAGCTACCAGATGGGAGAAGGGTGAGGGGTCAGGATCACTTTAAACCACTGGTGACGACAAATCAAAGGTGCTTTGTGACAGTTTCTCCCAGATTACAGTTCCTGGGTGACCACCGATGTGTGATTCAGGGTTGCCACACAGGTGTGGCAGTGGGTGGGGAGGATTATTCAAAAGCATCCTCTGTGGCAGAAAATGTCTAGTAAGGGAGCAAAACTACTTGTCACAAACAATCCACAGAAGCAGACACCATCTGTGGGTACCTGCACAGCCCATGCTCCACCTCTCCTCCAGTTCCCTGAAAACAGCCCCTCCCATGGCAGAGGTGGACCCCTGAAGTCATGTTCCTATCAATGAAATGAAACACCCCAGTTCAGCTGCCATCTCCTTGGCCAGCAGTGACTGGGCAAATGAGATTCTTGCTCCTAGAAAGTGGGCATGGAGACTCCCAGACCAGGTCCCTTGGAGCGCGTCAGCCGGGAGCAGGAGATGTGCAAGTTGAAAGTGCCAGCCTGGACAACCACATCTGCCCACATGAATGGAAATGCCAAGGAAGCCAGGCTGCTGAGACAAGAGAATGAGGCAGATACACCAGGAAACATGAAGACGAGAACCTCTGCGGCCTAGGAGAGGGTGCTGAGAGTTACCTCTGACCCCAGTGACCTGCCGGACCTGCATCACTTCCTGCCCTGGTGTCTAAGACAGCCCTACATTTCACCAAAGTCCTGGAAGCTGCCACCAGATCATCTACTTGTCTACTTAAACTATTTTGAGCAGGTTTCTGTCCCTCTCAGTCTAAAAGTGAGATAAGGAAGACCTGACCATGCACTCTGGAGGCTTCCTGGAAGAGAGGATGGAGTTGTCATACCACTGCACCTTGAGGCCCATCTTTCCTTATCTGGAGTTCAAAGGGCTTACTAACATGTGAGAAAAAGGGAAAAATTACTTGGGGGAAAGAAATCATTTATTTTCCCAAAGGCAAGGGGATGGCTAAGTAAATTATGGTATGTCAATTGGATGCACTTTGCTAATGAACAACCAGTAAAAGTAATTGTTCTGAAAATCGATGCTTTGATATGGAAAACCAGCAAGATACAATATCAAGCAAAAGCAAAAATACAGTCAGAACTACATCTGCCATAATTACAACCACTATTATGTAAAAATTTCATACCAAAGGGGCATAATAATAATCACCACTACTGAATTTGTTAGTGATGGATTTATAGGTGATTTATTCCCCTTTTTCGTCCAATATCACTCTGAGTTAATACAATTAATATTAATTAATACAATTATTGAAAGAAACTCTATCTCAGGACAATCTGAAGAACATCAGGGCTTAGACAACTGATCATTTTTTCTATTGTTCTGGGAGTTGGCTGGCTTGGTAGCTATCTAGCCCAAACATTCAACACGGCTGAGGATCTAAAAGGACGCAATAAAGAAATGCCAAGAAGTGAGTTCATCTGCTTTGAGTGCCTACCTCAGAAGGTGGACGTGCAACATTGACTAAGGTAAGGCATACTGCATGCCTAGCACACGGTTGGCATACAGTAAGTGCTCAACTGATGTTAATAACCATACACTCAATCCTTATTATTTGTGTATTCCACATTTGTAAATCTGCCTACTCACTAAAATTTATTTATTTTATTATTTTATTTTTATTTTTATTTTTTTTCCTTTTTTGTCTCTTTTTTACTGACCGGTAACGGGATCGCAACCCTCGGTGTTGCGCCCGTACCGGGGACCGGCAACGGGATTGCAACCCTCGGTGTTGCGCCCGCACCGCGCTCAACCAGTGAGTGGGAACCGGTCTCCACATGGGATCCGAACCCTCGGCGGGAGCACCGCTGCACTCCCAAGCAGCGCACTCTCCAGTGCGCCACCGGGCCGGCCCACTAAAATTTATTTGTAACCTCAAAATCAGTACTTGCTTTTGAGGTCCTTAGTGGACACATGCCCAGCAGGGAAAAAATGAGTCTCCTGACATGTACGTTCCCAGCTGAGGTCAAACAAAGTGACGTTCTGCCTTCTCATTTCAGCTCTTTAAACAAGTGTCCTTATCATGGTCTATTTAGTGCCACAAGTTTCACATGTTTGTGCTTCTGATTTCACTGCTTAAAATAGCCACCAAGTGCAGTACTGAAGTGTTATCTTGTATTCCTAAGCACAAGAAAGCTGGGCTGCTCCTAATAGAGAAAACAGATGTGTTGGATAAAGCTTTGCTCAAGGCATGAGTTACAGTGCTGTTGACCCAGAGTTCAATGTTAAGGGTCAAAAATAAATATTAAATAGTGTCTTTAAACAGAAATACACATAAAACAAGTATGGATTGATCAGTTGACAAAAATGTGACCACAAGCTCTTAGGAATCGAATCCCATATTTCTTCTAGAAGCAATGGTTCCGTATTTACTAATTCAGTGTTTGTGGTGACTTTATAAAACATGATTACCACGAGTTATAAGAATCAACTGTAAATGTGGAAAGAGCATGAGGACCTTTCTGCCTGAGCTAACTTTTAATAACAAGAGTCTCAGCCAGCTGACTAGAAAACTGCTTGTCCAATTTAAAAATAGCTTGGTAAATCCACAAAGTGTGCCAGATGCATTCTGGAGCAACCCCAGAAAAGAATTCTGTACAGTATATTGCTCTAGACCGCAAAGAAATATCTCCTCAAGTTAATGGAACTGTGCTGTCCAATACAAAAATTAGATCAGAAAACAGTTCACGATGTTACATATACATATGTATTTTTATCGATATATCCCATAGAAAAAAACTTTAGAGAAGACATACGATAATATGTAGATAGTATTATCTCTGACAGCTGTTTTTCCCCCGGACAAAATGCTGAAACACATACAGAAGAAAGCAATAAAGATAAATACACAAGAAAGCAAAATATACTATCTCAAATCCCATCGTCATTGAGTGGCTACTGAACACCTGAAAAGTGGCTAATTCCAATAGAAATGTGCTTTAAGTGTAAAATACACACTGGATTTAAAGACTTCGTAGACAAAAGAATGTAAAACATCTTAAGAACTTTTTTCACTAATAATTTTTTATAATGATTACATGTTGATATGATATTTTGGATATATTAAATAAAAATACATTATTAAATAATTGACATCATCTGTTTCTTTTTACTTTTTAAATGTGGCTACTAGAAAATTTTAAATGACATATGTGACTTGTCATAGTTTTATTGGGACACTGGATTTCTAGTGGAACACTGGACTCAAATCTCAAAGTAGGCTTTCGCCCTTTGTTTTCAGGGTAACAGATAAGCCAAAATTAACAACAAAACAAGAAAAGGATGGTATCTGTGACACAGACTATGAATGGCCTCTTTATATCCAGCTAAAGAATTGCATCTGCCACTAGGGGTGGCCATCAAACTAAATTTTGTTCTATGAGATATAATTGGAAGTGCTTTCAGACTTCCAGGAAGTCTCCTTAAATTGGAGGTGGCCTACAAATCTTTCCTTCCTCTCTTCTCCAATTTTGTTGCCTGGAATATGGATACGATGGCTGATGTTCTAGCAGCCATGTTTGATGATGAGATTGAAGGTCACAACTAGGCATGGCAGGGTGGTGAGCTATAAAGATTCCTGACTTGCCTCCAGATTTCTTCTGCTTGAGAAAGAAAGAACTATATCTTGTTTATACTGTTATTTTGAGATTTTCCAGTATACACAGTGATTGGAAACCAACCTTTGGGTTATTCTGGAAGGACTCTATCAGCAAAGACAGCTTCCTCTGCAGCTCCTGCAGGTCCTTTGAGGTGCTTGGGGGCTCCTCTTTTGCCATCCTGAAACTCACTTCACTCTCTTTGGGGGTTAATTCTCCTACCAGGAAGCTCTCCAGTGCAGTGCTCAATCCAGTCTCTCATGTCGCCCTGTCTCTTGCTGTCACTGGAAGAAACAAAAAGTTTCTTAAACCATTAGTGCCCTTCATCCAACTGGTTTAATAAGACCTTCTGTTACCCTCACACATTGATGGTGGACATGCATATGGAGAGTAAGTTGGCAATATTTATCAAAATTTCAAATTATATACACTTCAATCCAGCAGTTTATTTCCCAGGAACCCGAAGAAACTAATCAAATGGGTATATAAAAAAAAAAAAAAAAAAGAAAAGATGTGTATCACGTACCTGTATATAATAGTATATAATATATAATTGACTAGCAGAACATTGGAAAGAAGCTAACTGTCAACTATCTATTAGTAGGAAATTGGTTAAATAATGATAAATCCACAGTCATTAAAATTCTAATGTGGCTATCTATCTAGTGACATGAAAAGATGTCAATAATAAGATTTTAAAGAGATTACAAAATACTCCACTTTGTTACATATACAAATGTATTTCATGTACACATTGCATAATAAAACATATAGAAGGACATATAAAAGAATGGGAACAGTAGTATCTCTGAGAGCTTAGGTTTATTTTTAGCCTAACAACATGCTGAAAAGAATATATAGAAAGTAAGAAAACTGAATACACTACTTCAAGTCCCACTGTCTTTTTCCCCACCCCAGAAAGCCTTTCTTGTACAACAGTGACCTTGGCTGATGTCTCTTCTTTATTTACCCATACTGTACAGGCTGTTTCCCAATTAACTTACACCATAAATCATTCTCTGTTTACTTGTTGGTAAGTCTCTTCCCCCTAGGAGTCATGCCTTAGGGACAGACCTGCTGCATTTAAACTCCATGACTAAAATAAACAGCCTGGAATTTCCAGGAATGTCCCAATCTCACATCATTTTTATGTATTTTTAATAAAGGCAATTTGTTAAATTAGATTTTTTTTTAACCCTTGTTGAGTTTTCAAATAAAAAAAATATATATATCATTCTTATTTCATATTTCCCAGAACAACAACTGGCATGCTGGACACAGGGATATATTTTCCATTTCTCCCTTACAACTGACCTCTTGACCTACAGTACAAATGCCTAATAGATTCTGTCACGGTGGACAAAATTAACCGAGAGATCCTCACATTAATTTACCATACTGAATATCTCATATACTAATCATGTGAGTTACTGGAGAAATATTTATCTACTAATTTCTACAGGGTTTAGTATGCAAATTAAAGCACATTTTAATCGCCCCAGCTAGAGTTCCTCAGCTACATCCCGCTTGTAAAACAGGAAACTCCCTGGACAGGTTAGGACTAACCCCTCCACCCCATATCCTGGCTTTGAAGCTGTAGCTGGCACAGATCTTGGCTTCAGGATGTTCCCAGCTCTTGTTCCCCTAATCTCATCTCTGAAGCGGGCAGAAACAGGTCTCCTTTGGCCTGGGAAACCCGAAGGACACACAGGCCGGTTTGGGGTCGAGCGTGGGGAGAATGCCATCAGCCACAGCCACCGTATGCATCTACCTGGCCACCAATTCCCAGACCGCCAAGTCACTCACCCCTCGGAGGGGCCACCACAGGACCCGAGCGGGCTCCGGAGCAGGAAAGGCGTGACCCCGGTGCAGCCGGAGGCGCCCGCCCCCTCGGCGCCCGGACCGAGCCGAGCCCCCGCCGCCCACGCGCCCTCCCCTCCCGCG